AGCAGGACAGTCGTAGGCAGGACAGTCTGTAGAAGGCAGGACAGTCTGTAGGCAGGACAGTCTGTAGAAGGCAGGACAGTCGTAGGCAGGACAGTCTGTAGGCAGGACAGTCTGTAGAAGGCAGGACAGTCGTAGGCAGGACAGTCGTCAGCAGGACAGTCGTAGGCAGGACAGTCTGTAGAAGGCAGGACAGTCGTAGGCAGGACAGTCTGTAGGCAGGACAGTCTGTAGAAGGCAGGACAGTCTGCAGGCAGGAAAGTCGTAGGCAGGACAGTCTGTAAGCAGGACAATCTGTAGAAGGCAGGACAGTTGTAGGCAGGACCTCGGCTCGCCTCCAGAGTCCACGACCTGATAGAACATCTAAGCTGAGGGGGAGATTTGGTCCCTGGTGAACATCCCTGTTGAACCTGACCTTGCCGTCTCGGTCAGCAGGAGCGAAGCCGGGATGTGGACACCTGGGTGCGGAGGGTGGGCTGTGTGAGTGCAGGGCCAGCCTTCAAGGAGAGCCCGCATAGCCGGACGCTGCAGGGGAGGGTCCAGGGTCCTCAAAGGGCCGAGGTGGGAGGCGCAGGAGGGTGGGCAGCAGCTGTCAAAGCCGAAAGAGCAAGCCGCAGGTGCCCCTGGGCCGGCCACACCTTGGAGAAGCTTAGCAGGAAGGAGGGGGCTCAGGGTGGGGGTGGGGCCGGAGCAGGAGGCTGAGGGAGCCTGACTCGGTTTGGTGGCCAGTCTGAGCTACCCGCACAGCACACTCCCTGGCCGGGGTCCAGTTGGGAACCTTGTGCGGACACCTGGGGGAAGGGTTGGCCCCCTGGAGGGGCATGGGGCATGCCCCAGTCTTTTGACTTCTGCACCGGTCCGGCCAGAGCTTGGAGCTGGTCCTTGGCAAGCCGGGCACGCGCCTGTGTCTGAGGCTCCGTGGCTCCTGCTGACCGAGATGGCTCAGTCGGGATGTTGACTTGGCTAAGGCCGGAAGCACGGAGGGGGGCGTTCAGGGGAGGCCAGAACAGTAAAGAGGAAGAAGAGGCAGGCGCAGAGGCTTTCAGGAGCCCAAGCGAGACAGGACGGCGGCAGGTGGGGCGGCGGCAGGTGGGGCCACGCCGGACCCCCAGCAGGGAGGCAGGGAGGGAGCCTCAGATCAGACCCGTGTGGGGCAGAGGGCGGCGCAGAGCAGAGGCGCCGGCTGGCCGGTCAGCTGCGGCCTCCCTGCCCACCCCGAAGGGGCTGTCCGCCTACCTCCTGAAGGGCCTTGACCCCCATTTTCTATCATCATCAATGCACAATTAGTGACAGCTAGTATATGTGGTGTGAAAAATTAGCATCCGTGACCTTAAAACCACCATGAGGATTGAACTACATCCTTTGACACCCCGATTGCTTAAACCAACCGGGCTCCTCTGAGCCGGGGAAAAAGGCAAAACGAAGTTCTCCGGGCCACGAGCTACGTTTTTCTCCCACCCCGTGAAGGGTCGAGCAGGGTGCTCCCGGGGACGCTCATTCTGCATGAGCTGCCCCCCAGGGGGCTGTTGGCCCACGGCCCTGAGCCGGCGTTGGTTTAAATGCCAGAGCTGGTCCAACTTTGCTCCCTTCCGTTTTGGGGATCCCGTGGCCCTGAAGGACCAGCTGTGCGGGGCGCAGCCCAGGGGCCACGGAAGCACGTGCACTGGTGGCCAAGAACCAGGCCGCAGGGACGTGGCCTTGGACTGACCGCGGGTCCC